ATAAAATACACACAAACTGTGCTTCATCCCAGAGTTTGATACCCTGAGAATCATCATGTCCTGAATCTGCCATATGAACCTGAGGGAAAAAAAATCCACACTCAAACTAAGCTAGACACCTCCTGTACTGAATTTGGGGTCGGATCAGATTTTAATTCAGTGAGTAACAGCACTGGAATCTCAGGGCTGAAGTGGGCTGTGCTTTAAATAACGTGCAGATAACACTCACCATGGCTGCAGGGCTTCAAGGTGAGCACATTTTCTTTCTGTATGGAAACACTGCTTGGGTAAGTCAAAGCTAGAATTCAATATGGGAAAACAAAACATTCACCCTCTGAAGACAGCTCAGCCTATTTCTTATTTTCATTTCCATAAAAGAAGACCCTAGTCTTTCATCTCATCCCTCTTCCTTATTATTTTTTTTGGTTCTTTTTTTTGTTTTTTTTTTGGGTTAGGTTTTTAGTTTGTTTTTGTTTTTGTCCCCCCTCCCCAATTTAGTTACCATTCTAATAGAGCCATGTAACTCTGGTCCTAGCCTAGGCTATGAGGAGGGCAAATAATCTCAGTAATTTTTAAGGCATACTACTCTGTATATTATAAAGCCCTAGATAGCCATCACAACAACATACACCAATAAAAAATGTTGGATTGGACGTGTCTTCTTTTTTTATAGTTTGCAATTTAGTTGTTTCAAATTTATAAACAGTCTCCAGCGGGCTTTTCCACTTCTAGGCATAGGGAAGTACTGCCCATTTTGTTACAGGAGAAGGAAAAGCCTATTATTTTCAATGCCACAGTTCATTTCCAGAATAATCTGTTTCATCACCAAGGATGATAATTTGGTAGCATCCATAAAGATACACAGATTTGTAAGTGAACCAGAATATCTACAATTACTTTAATACGGGATATTCCATGTCAGCAATTCTCATGCTTTGGGAGATTGACTTCTGGAGAGCTTGCGCCTGCTCATGATCAATTACTTCTACCCCCTCCACAACAGCTGACAGGCTGCAAAGACAGCTGGAGTGTTGGTCAGAGGAATACTGTAAACTCAAAATTTCTACATAAAACCAGTAAAATGTTCAGTCCTTCTTTTCTGATCTGTCATGATGTATCTTACACCCCAAATAACTTTGCTCTATACCTACTTCTCTCTTCCTCATTCAGATACTGATTCTCTTAGCTTCCCATTTCAGCTGTTTATCCAGAGTGAGAAAGACTGGCAAAGTGCAGCAGCAGCAGAAACTTGCAGTGAAGGAACCACAGAACGTGTGTCATGCTGGCTGCACAGAGAGAAGTCTGTTCTAAATTTGCACATATTGTTTGTTTGATCATTTTGATTAATTTGCAAAAGATATACTACTGCCTCATCCAAGTTAGAAAACTTTCAAGTGCTTCCCTTACTCCTGTAAAACTGGACGATGCATAGTGCCGCTAATTGCGATGGCTATTTTTCTTGCAGACAGCAGCACAGTCACAACTAGGAATCATAGATCTAAGTAAGAAAGCTAAATACTTTCTTGGCCCAGTAAAGTTTCCAAAATATAAACAGTGGAAAAAGATTACAGCATACACTCTGCTACTCATTCCTTTTCCTTTCAGTGAAGTTAAATGCTTACAGAAATGCTGGACATTCAAGCCATCCAGCCGCAAAGAGAGGCTGGCAGAGCTCTGCAGGTGAAGGCATATCTGCTGCAGGCATGCTGACCTGCTTCGGTGTCAGTCCGCAGAGTGTCCTTTAGACCCTGAACCTGGTCAGCACCCAGGGCCACAAAGGCCTTGGTCACCATTTGGAAAAGCTACCTGACAAATACAAGTGGCTTTGGTTACAGCAACGTGCCTAACGAGAAACCAACTACCTTGTTCATTTGCCCAGTGACCACCAAGTGATGAACAAGACCTGAGCTGCTCTAGGAGCTGCAACCAAGAGAAGCAAGCCACATGTCACAGCAGGTGTCTGCACTACACTTAGCTTCATCATCATCCATTCCTGTACCACAATGTGCTGGCACAGCTGTAAGATAACATGTTTAATTACTGCTTCTCTGAGATGTCACATGGTATTAAGTGACACCTGTAGTAAATAATAGCTGTCACTGTTGTACAATGAAGGAAACCTCTAGAGACACGCTTACTTTGAGACAACATACCTTTAAAATTACTCTAACACATACAGGAAACTAACACAAACTTAGCAGAGGAAGACTAGAATCAGTGTCAATGAGCCCACAAGAGAAGAGAAAATGAAAGGTCGCAACTCCTAGATCGTAATGTAGAATAACATGCAACTTACTGCTTGATTCTGTTCTAGCATCTCTAATTTGCAACATTATGATTATACACAATCAAACAGAGTTTGAAAATCCCATGCTAGCAATGCATTTGAGGACCAGCATCAAGGAACAGCCACGGGGATTCATATATAGCTGGGTCTGTATATCCCACATGTAGGGGAGCGGCTGCCAGTTTCTGCTCATCTTGATTTCCATAATAAATCAGTAATGGTGCTGTGAAAAAGCAGTCTTTTATTGAAAAAGCAAATGAAAAAATAACTAACTTTCTTGAATTATCAGACTCCACAGAGGGGAAAAAAACATCCTCTGTAGCACATACAAAAGGACAGTAAGACTGTATGCAAGACACATGAATTACAAAATGAAACCCATCTTTTCAGTATTCATCCTAGTTTTCGGGGAGTCCGGAATCGTCATTTTACAGGATAGTGCCAGATACCACGTACCATGTAGGAGCAAAAATAAATGTAGTATAGCTCACAGAAAAAGGGACCATAAATGGCAGAACTGGAAGTTGAATGGATTTATAGATAATGTGTTACAAAAAGCTTGAAATAATATGTCGCAAATAAACATCAGCCTAGGCACTGAAATAATTTTTCATCTAAATTAACAATGTTTAATCCTTAGAACACTAGAGGACACTTGATAAGCATTTTAAGCACTATCTTTATAAACATATCTATACATCTTTTTCTATACACAATCCAAATATGTTCTCTTGCAGTAGCATCCTTTAACAATCAAGTCTGAACAAGCTTGGGAACCTCTAACCTTGGCTAAAAAGGCAGCCAGAACTTTCATACAATCTTTGGCTTTTAGCTACGTGTGTCTAAACAAGGACATTTTATAATCAGAAGTATTTGTGGCCTGGAGTATATTAGCTTAGTCACACTGGCACTACTAGCAATACTTTATAACACTCCAACAACAAAAAAGCACTACTCAGAGTGAGGCCCTCATCTTCATGCTTTCACCCTAACTAACTTCCTTTACTTAGACTCTAAAGCAATATCTTATTTACGTATTATCTTTAAAAAAATCTAGAAGCAGTTAAAACTTCAGTCTGACAAAACTCTTGTACTTAACACACTTTCACACTATGTTAAGTGATTGTTTAGAAGTTATATATAGAAGGGGAAAAAAACTTTTTCAAAGTGTGAATTTGGAGAGTGGCTATATGATTTTAGTTTAAAAAAAGAATCAAGGAAAACTTTATAATCTCCTTTGTCTTTAATTAGCTCCTTTAAGGGAAAAAATATTTACTCCATCCAATGTTGTATGAATATTATACAGACTATTTCAGTTTGCTGCACTTCACTTAGGTCATGCTTGACAAAGTACAGTCCATAACTAGCATCATCCATGGAAAGGGGAAAGAACAAAAAGAAAATGTGAAAAATAGCCTTTGTGAGCACAAAAGAACTGCAAGTGATCATAGTGATACTCACTGTCAGAATAACAGACCTCTGCATTTAATTTTCCAAAGCCTAAGACAACATATACCTTACATGGAAACTTGAAAATCAAATTATGTAACAATAGCAATAGCAAAATCCTACAAATCCTCAGCCAGCTATGAGAGTAACACATTTTTCAGAGTCAAATGTACCCATGGCAAATCTGGCCCAGGATGCTGCTGTGTCAGGCAACACACTGGAGGATGCTGTTCTGCTATGCACATCCCGACTGTATCAAACATCCTACATGTCATTGGTCTCTACTCATTTTTGTGAGGGATGCCTGGATCTCACAGGTGGTTATGGGGGAGTTATGCTGCAAAAGGCTGAACTTCAGATAATCAGAGACGAATACTGGGGATGCAGTCTTGATATGCCAAGGTAATTGCAACTCTAATACCATACGAAGCTGAGATTATCTAGATAACAGTATGAGAAATACAGTATTTAGGCACACAGAAATAGAAAATTTTGGGTAGTGCTCTTAGGCACTACAGCTGCAGCAGAACAGCAAATCAAATCTGTCAGTTTGGACTAGACCACACCAGCCAAACCTGTTTCTGCAGTCAGGAGGACCCACTGTTTTCCCTAGCTAACAGGAGAGCACCCACAGGAACAGACTGAGCATCCCACAGCAAGATGCATGTTCCAGGCCTGACAGCATCAGCAACTATCCATCGCCCTCCTAAAAGTATTCAGAAGTCTCTTTCAGGCAAGGCAGCATACTTAGAAGGCCTGGTTATGTTCAGACACAAGCTATTTAGAGGACAGCTGCTCCTATAAACACTTGTTAAAAATTACATTCATGGAAGACTGATCACCTTGGCAGAGCAGTATACACAGTAAAGATTATGGTTGCTGATACGGTAAGTATCGAAGTAGCTGGAGAACAAGTTAAATTTACCCATACTTGCATATCGCTTCAGAGGAACACGACTTGCATGCCAAAATGACCAGACAGAGATTATTTAAAAGAAGAAAAATACGTAATTTAAAACTTCTACAAAGCAAACTTCCCTACTTGCTCTATTCTCACGCTAGCTTTTCAGCTCACCATGTGTGTGTTTCACAGGTTGTGGTCCCTTGAAAATCTGAAGGTCAGCACTGACAGTTCAATGTACTTGAACAGCTCCTGTGAGAGGGATTTTGGCCTGGAAATGTTTCAGCTAAGGATTTCTCAAACAGGAGTATGAACAAAACTGGTGGATCCTTTCAAAAGAAAAATCATAAAGAAGCTCCAAAATTATACAGTAAATAAACTTTATTTCATCTCAGCTCGTCAGATTAGTGCTGTCAACAGTCATAGAGCAGCATATAATACAGTTATGTATTAACTATTTACAATTTACAGTAATGTACTTTTTCTCCAGAAAAAACAAGTACAAAAGTTAGGAATAAACAAATGAGGTACTGCAATTTTGATTTATTGTAGGCAAAAGCATATAGAAGTGACCTTTAGCAAACAATCATAAGATCAATTCAAGAGAGTAGTCATCAAGAGTGCCTAGCCCATCAGGAAAATCGCTACCCAACTGCTACCCATCCAAAAATGTATTGCACAATTCATTCAAAAATAAAAAAATAAATAGAAACAACAAACCACTTATGTCAACTCTTTAAAAAAAACACCCAATAAAGCCTGTATAGAGATACAGTAGTGGGCAATTCCTTCCTAGGATAAAGTCTTTTCTCTCCTTTAAAAAAATAACCTTTAACACAAAATAGAAGATAGTGTTCAATAGAAGAGAAAAAAGACTCATCATCAGACGACTCCTGATTAGCATTTCTTGTGAAGGCAGTTTTAACTATATTCATGGTCCAAAAGTGGTGCTGAATTTTTGTTCTTGCTGTTCCATTTATGACCTTGAATAACAGCTTTTCTTCATGTCCCTTCTCAAGGGACAACACCACAGACAAACATATTTCTAAGCAGCAGTGTCAAGAGATATTCTCACCAAAATTTCTTCAAGATGGTCGTAGCCACAACTAGAAGAAGTCAGGAAGAAATGAACAAATGTTACAATATTGAGAGCAACTTAGAAGCACTTAATACTGAATTAATAATGTCAATAATAATAGTTGCTTATTGATAGGAATCGGAGACGGAGAATTTCAGATAAGTCAAATGCCAAATTATTAACCGCTTTTAAGCAAACAATTCCACTGCAGTATCTGCAAAACAGTTGAGAAATCGGGACGAAAACAAAACCTGTAGCAAAACAGTCACGAATCTTATTGGAAATAGCCTACCATGATGTTGCATCTTAATCCACCGAAAAACAAAGTCGTCCTCTCTGCATAAGGCTTATAATCAAAATTGAAGAGATAGGAGTAAAATTCTGGGGCTAGCAAAAAGCCTTCTCTACCAGGAAAATATTTATTGCTTTCACACTGAAGTCAGCATCATCTTAGTTTATAAGTTTTATACATGCAAGAGTATTATCACATCTATCTATAGATGTCACAAAAATAGTTGAGATAAAGTAAGAAACTACAATCCAATAATGAGGTCTGAACAGTTTCCATATATATCAGCTTAAATTATAACAGGTAATTACTGACATTAAGGTCAAAATCAAGCCCTTCTGTGCTATACTTCAAATGCAGCTGAAAGTGCCTGAACCTTTTTCACGAGTATTACAGACAGCACGATGAGAATTTAGGTTTCAAACATGCTTTCTGCAATAGTGTTGTAAATAGTTTGGTCCTATCATTACCAACAACTCAAATTACTTTCAACAGAAGGCTAGAAACAACAGTTGCTGATTTTGTCAAGACGTGATCAAGGCTAGGAGACAAACAGTCCAAACTCTACTACATTTCAAGTGCAATAAAGTGCATCCGCTATTGTATTCAAAGGTTTAAAAGAACACAAAATAAAGCAGAAACCATGACTGTTTGCTAAGATTAATAGCAGTCATTATTCTGTCTTGAGGGCTATATTTACATGACTGCAAGAGGGGAAGATAGCCTGTCAGCACTGCAATAACTGGCAGTGGAAATGGCCAAAGTTGGTGCAGGTCAACTACTGCATTTCAGCCCACTGACAGCAACTGCCTCACGTGCATGGAATCAGCTGCTCCTTTTCTGTAATGCTACAATTAGCATTGCAGATTCATAATGAAAGGAGCTCAATAACACCTGAAGAAAGGCTCTGTAAACTGAGAGCATAAAGCTCCCTAATCTATCTGGTCTAGCTTCTCTGGATAGATAAACCAAAGCTCTTGTTCAAAAAGGTACTGGCATTTAAATGCAATCATATCCTAATTCCTCTTCAGAGGATATTTCAGCAATCTTCCCTAAAATAATCCATAACCATATTTCTAAGATGTAATAATTCATTTCAATAAGTACAGTATATGTCTCCCATAAATCTGACTTACTTACCTATTCAAAAAAAGAGATCATAAAGTAAAATGAAGACAAAGTGCAATAAAATGTAATATTACATGTTAATGGATTTAAAATCTGATTTTTTTTCTACAATTGAGATTTCTGTAGCTCAATCAACATTTCAAATTATGCTTGTAAGTCAGAAATATTGGTTTTGAATAAATATTTACCACTTGCAGGCTTGGCTTTGTAAAGCAAAACATGATTAGAACAAACATCAGTAGAACAAAGTTTATCATACACATACACAACAAAAAAATTGATTTAAAAAAAAAGCAGACAAGAACAAAAAGCAGAGGAATTATTAATCTCATACTACAGGTTTCATCTCGAAATAAAATAAGTATGTATTAGGCTTCACTCACCCACATGCTAACTAAGCACAGACTGATGGGATATTCAGAAGATACCACTGCGAGGTGAGGCAAACTACAAAGCCAGGAAGAAAACAGCTTATTGGACTACTTTGTTAACAGTGTAGGTAAGAACTTTGTGGACATCTACTGCTTACAGACAAGATTGCTGCAGCTAGATGACAATAACTATGCAGTAAAAGGTATATTAGTGAAGGAAATACATAGATCTAGAATATGTTTATTGACCTAGGAATTTGCTAATAGTTTTCAGAAACCTGTTCAATATATGCCCACTAAGAGGATAAATAATTACATATAGATACTTTACACTACACTCGTTTATTCTTTTCTAGTAGCACAGTTAATTAACAATTTACACATGAAAATTAGTTATAGATATTTCGGCCATGAACTAACACACAGAAGCAACCAAGCTTCATGTTAAAAATGCACATTTATGTTGTGGTTGAAAACTTTATCGCTCTCGAGATGTAAATACTGGATATTTTCGAATACCAGCATTGCTCCAAAATTAAGTGTGGAGAAACACTACTACCATGTTAAGTAAATGCCAATAAATTACATTAAAAAAACAAGCATATATCTTGACTAAATAATTCACGAAGATCCCTCCAACATTTCAGTCCTAAACATGAATTATAAAAGACTCAGCCAAAAAAATAATTTGTGCTTCAGTAAATAAAATTAGTAACTTCGAAAATGAAAATAAAAATACTACATCCTCTGTAATACACCCTAATATTTGAGCTTCCATTAGATGTCCAATTTAATTTCTTTGTAGATTTGGAAAGGAGAAAATTCACAGGCTAGATCTGAGCCAAGAAGAGACTGCTATGTGAAACTCAAGAAGTTTTTGATCAGGAAACAAAGCTCTTTGACAATATCCTTAACAATCAGAGCACTTGCAGCCTACAAAAAAACTCACTGTATGTTCTAGTCAAAATTTAATGCCAAGGACGTTTAGTACCAAGGACCAAAACCTGTTAGAGGAATTCAAGTTGAAGTTTTATTTAGTATTTTAAGTTGTGAATGTCTGTTTTAGGAAGACCAGGTTTCAAGTATCAAAAAGCTGAAGCCTCACCTTTGGCCAAGAGATCACTAAAACTGTTGCCTAAATATTACTCTAGCTTGCCAAATCAAAAGAAGCAGTGCTAACTTTCTCCTTGAAGGTCAGATAGAGAGAGCATGAAGAGAAAATAATGTTTGGGATGCATGATACTTATTGGAGCAGCAGTATTATCAGCATTCATATAATTCCAAAAGTATTTGAAATAGTAGAGACTGCAAGACACACTCAAATCAACTAAGTGTACAGAATATGTTGAAGTATTTAATACTTTCCTCAGATTTGATACTTCAAGTAGATGAAATGGTAAAATTTTTTTTATTTGTTTCAATGGATCAACAAGACATTAATGCAACTACAACTGAAATGTAAAAATGTTCAAATATTTATGTTATTCTGTTTCTGCAAGTGCTAAATAAATATATATGCAAGGCCAGTGAGTGAAATGGAATGCAATTTTTCCTCTCACTTTAACTCCTAAATATTTTACTAAGTTGACACCACAGAGATCACAGTATTTACTCCAGATATAACACAGAGAAAACTATTAATGCAGTTTTTATTTTAATAAAAATAACTCCAATTTATAAAATAGTAACAGGAGTACCAAAGAAATGTTTATGTTCATATATGCTTCCTCTTGTTTGAGTCTGCTTCTCAAACGCAAATTCACCTTTCTAGTAAACAGATCAGCTTGGTATTTACTAAGCAACTGTCACATAATAATAGGTGTACTGAAACTGGGAAAATCAACTAAACAAAACCAAAGTGAAATGTTTGAGACTGATTTTTCATCTGTCCTGACCCAGAGAGAACCTTACATATTTTGATAGTTTTTCAGTTTAAAAATAAAGTAGACTCTTAAACACAGAACAGAACAAAACCAACCCAAACAAGAACTTGTCCGGTTAGCAACTTATCCCGAGTATCTTGTTAGGGTACTCACTTAAGAGAAAAATGTAAATATCCCACTTCAAACACACATATCCCAGGTGACTGAGCTAATCAGTTTTTTATTCTACAAGGAGAATGACTCTTGCTTTTGCATTTTATCCCAGGGCTGAAATATGTCTCTTGACATGATTTTCATGAAAAATGGTATGACTCCACAGAAACTTCTGAATTTAAGAAATATGAATTTTCTGTCAGATTACTTTTTTGATTAGAAAAGTAATCTGCAGAATAGTAGTGATGACTGAACTTGCTTCATTCTGTTGTACCAATAGCTATCAGAAATACAACTTCACTGATGAGGATAAATACTAGTTAAGAAAATATGCTTGGTTTTTTTCCTCACTTTTGCTACAAACTCAAACCTACAGCTGGAATTTGAAAAAAGTGGGAAGGAGGGAGAAAAGGAGTTCTCTTGACTGCAGATAAAGGGAAATGGAAACTTAAAGGAAAGTTTCTAATTCCTTATTCTTGCAACCTAATCTCTTGCATAAACTTGGTTTACTCAACTTACCAATGGTCGAGCATCTTCTCGTTCTAGTATCTTCTGAGTCTGATCTGCTGGGAACTTCAGCACTGTTGTTATAACCTTGGCCATTGTCTAAAAAGAAATAGGTCATCTATAAGTAATTTCATATGCACTAAAATAATATACTATTTTAAAGTGCATTTAATTTAAAAATGTGGATACTATTTTTAGTAATATCAATGGAAAACATAGTGAAATGAGTAATATGAGTATTAAATGAGTATACATTGTATATGCATGACGTTATGTGAATTGTATGACAACCATGAAGGGTCTTCATTTCATACTGTCACAGATTTCAGCTGTTGTAGTATGATGTGCGTTCTATCTATGCTCAAATAATTGAGTCCATTAATAAGACAGTGTCCTGTTCACAAATACTGCTCCTACCACATTTTATCTTAAATCTTGCCTTTCTGAAAAGCACATTTCGGGTGAATGGCACCTGAGAGAGTCCTTACAGATTCAATTATATTCACATCATCTAAGTATTTTGTAAAGAAATGAATCGCTGAGAAAGCAGATCCAAATGTCAGATGTGGAACCCCACTTGTATAAATATTTTTTAACAGGTATACAGTAACCCTGTATTTAAATAGCAAATCATTTAGATCATCTTCAAACAGAGGATGTAAGAATAACAAAGATCAGTGCAAAATAGGCAATGATTATTTCCATTTTATAAACAGATGAGTGGGAAACTCCAAAAGGCATGTATTGGGTTTGCATACCAAGGTTTTGGTAGCAGGGGGAGCTATAGGGGTGGCTTCTGTGAGAAGCTGCTATAAGCCTCGCCCATAACCAATAACACCAACAGCCAGCTCCAAGACGGACCCACTGTGGGCCAAGGCCATGCCAATCAGCAATGGTGGTAGCGCCTCCATGATAACATATTTAAGGAGGAAAAAAACCCAGAACAGTAGCAGAAAGAGGAGTGAGATGTGAGAAAAATAACTTTGCAGACACCAAGGTCAGTGACGAAGTAACTAGAGGAGGTGCTCCAGGTGCTGGAGCCTGTGGTGGAGGAGGTGCTCCAGGTGCTAGAGCCTGTGGTAAAGACCGTGGTGAGGCAAGCTGTGCCTCTGCAGCCCATGGAGGTCCACAGTGGAGCAGATCTCCACGTGCAGCCCATGGACGACCCCATGCTGGAGCAGGTGGATGCACCCAAAGGAGGCTATGGCCCCATGGGAAGCCTGTGCAGGAACAGGCTCCTGGCAGGACCTGTGGACCCATGCAGAGAGGAGCCCATGCTGGAGGAGGTTTGCTGGCAGGACCTGTGACTCCGTGGGGGACCCACACTGGAGCAGTCTGTTCCTGAAAGACAGCACCCCATGGAAGGGACCCACACTAGAGGAGTTCATGAAGAACTGCAGCCTGTAGAAAGGATTCATATTGAAGAAGTTTGTGGAGGACCATCTCCCATGGGAGAGACTCCACGCTGGAGCAAAAGAAGACTGAGGAGTCCTCCCTCTGAGGAGGAAGGAGCAGCAGAAATGACATGTGATGAACTGACCTTAACCCATATTCCCTGTCCCGCTGTGCTGCTGGGTGAGAGGAGGTAGAGAAAATTGGGAGTGAATTTGAGCCAAGGAAGAAGGGAGGGGCAGGGGGAAGGTGTTTTTAAGATTTGGCTTTATTTCTCATTATCCTACTCTGATTTGACTGGTAATAAATAATATTCATTTCCCTGAGTTGAGTATGTTTTGCTCATGAAAGTAATGGGCAAGTCATCTCTCCCTGTCTTTATCTCGATCCATGAGTCTTTTGTATATTTTCTCTACACTGTCCAGCTGAGGAGGGCAGGGATAGAATGGCTTTGGTGGGCACCTGGCATCCAGTCAGGGTCAACCCACCACACGACATAAAACGAGGTCCAGACGACTTTTACAGGAAAGGTTAAAATAAGAGCTCCAGTGCAGTTCAAATAGAAGGTGACTGCTACAAAAGCAGTAACTGCTGCTTTTAAAGAATGTGGATGAGATAAGATTGCTGCTCTCAACATCTCACATGTGGAATAAAGAGGGAAGCTGTAGCAACAAAGCAGTTGTGGGACAAAAATGACTGCAGCTAAAGGTGACAGATGAAACTCTAATTTGCAACAATTGTTTCAGTATTTAACTTAACTAGGGACAGAAATGAAAAGAAAGCAAACCAAACCAAACCCTGTTGAAGACTTTCAGCTCAAGAGACTTAATATTAAAATAGTAGTAGTTGCTGTAATTAAGAAGTAAGCACCTCTACTGCAGTTCCCAGATATACAAAGGAATGTGCTCAATGCCTCAAACTAATATCACACTTTTCTAATTTCTTTTGCTAAAATCCTCAGCAAAGTTATTTAGGACTAAAAGATAAGAAAGCATTAGGCTTACAATCTATTCAAATTCACTGTAACAGTGGTATCAAGAAAGTCCTCTCTTAACAATTTTTTACAGGATACAATGGCATGCAAATTTGGAAGAAAAATCTACAAACACTGTGAATACTCCATGAAAGCGCAGAAACTTATGTGCTTATGACCCTGCACAGAGAAAGGACACTAGAATGATCTCACTAGAGAAAAATAGAAAAAATTGCCTTGTCTAGTCCAAGAAAGCAAAAGCTGAGAGAAAGGGATGACTGTACCAAGGAAGTAAATCTCAATACAGATCTTTTAACTCAAGGACTGCGTTGGGGAAAAGAAGTACACGTTAGTACTTTACTAACACACTTAGACTGTGTATTAAAAGATATTATCAATCACATTATCATTGCTCATGGTTTTCCAGTCAGTATTGCAGGATAAAACCAGTTTTCAAGACACAGTTCAGTAAATTTCAGATTATATCATACAATCCCATGAAAGCAGACACGAAGCTCAGTGTCTTCCAGCAACACATCTAATGGTTGAAAGAAAACAAGCAGATGAAATCAGTTTGAAAGTACTTTCTGAAGCAAAAGTGAAGAGACCAAAGTAGCTTCATATTAAAATGAGTAAAAATGCTAGCCTTCATCCCATTTTCATTTTCCATCAGTAAATGCCAGTACAGCTACAGTCTTGCTCAGCTACTAATAGAGAACTAAACACCACCAAAAATTCTTCCCTTTTTGCAATACATCAGAACATTAACCCTCAATTAAAAATTGCTAAGAGGTAATCAAATTAGTATAAGCACACAATAGAGAGGAATACAATACATTTAATTTTAAGAACTCTGTCATTCTCTTCATTTACCTAACTACATCTAACTTCCCAAAGCTAAAAATTGTAGTGCTTTGAAAATTATTTCTGCTGGTTGTTTGTATAAATATACTGCCCCTTTCAATCCCATCAACTTTCAAACAACATCTTCTCAAGTTAATGCAGGAACCAGATAACTCTCTTTTCTATTTTTTCTCCTCCCAATATGAATCCTCTTTGTGTGCAGGCAATGTTGTAATGGCATCCTCTAGTTAAAGACAGCGTAATCTCCAGGACAAATGCATACATATCTACATGTCTACAAATGCATACATACATAAATACTTCATATATATTTAATAACATAGCTGTTAATCAAAGCAACTGAAAGACAGAAGAGAGACCTAAAGTCAATTTACTTCAGCACTGACTGCTGTTTGCTGCTGTTACTGAAGAAATCAACTGCAAATTTTAGTACTGTTAAAAAGGAAAAAAACCTCTCACAACTTTACCATCCAAAATTCTGAGGCACGTACAGTAATGTTTTGAAGATCAGTGAGAAACAGCCTTCATGAGTGAAAAGGAGGTTTCAAATTTGGTTTTCTTGAATGCAAATTTGCTACTTGCCCCAGCTACTCTGCATTAGTCATCTGCAGCTGCCTCAAGACTTGTTTGAAGCTGAAAATTGTCTTTTTTACTTTTTTAGTATTTTTGTTTGTCTAAGTCCCTCACAATTCAAAATAATAAAATCCAGTAATGTACAGAGGAGTTTTTAAATTATTTCATTTGTTTGTTATTAAAGTAGGAGAACCATCCAATGAGCCACAGGCTTGTAAACAGAAGGTAACTAGTGATTCTGGGGTATTTTAGATCAGGGATTTGTATTTTTAATAAAAAAGGAATTAATATCAAAGTGAAAAATGGGAAAAAGAGAGAGAAAGAGGAATCCCATAAGGACAAGATGTCCTGCACAGACCAAGTTTTATTCTGTACAGAGCACAATGAGAACAAAGCTAATTAACATAGAAACCTACATAAAACCTCTTTTCTTAATAGTTGTCTGACTTGAAAGCAGGGCAACAAAGAATGGAAGAACTCCAGGGAAGAGGAAAAAACAAACAGACAAAATTCATCCATATAGCATTTATTATCCAAGAAAAATGTTAGTGTTATGACATACCACTTTTGAACCTGGTCCATCTGTAAGTGTCAGTATTGTTACAAGCTAGTAAAATTACAACTTCAGAATGATTTCACAAGCTTAAAGCATAAAACAAGAAGCCTACCGTGCAGTTTTTCACTACTTTTAAGAGTAAATTAATACTATTTAGACAAGGTACACAGATTTGGGAGCCCTATAAAACATCTTTAATGAACGATTAAAGAGATTTCACCATCTTCAGAGCTGCTAACAAACTTCTATTTAATCCAATTGTTACTTACCATGTTTGTGTCAAGATGACATCAATAAAGCATTTTTGCTAATATGGTGCGTACAGCTTTCACAGTACGTTAAGCCTGACTGACACCACCACCTTTGCTAGTAAAACTATACCTAACTATAAAGGTTTTTTTCTTCATAGGTACATTGGTGAGAGATGTGACAACCCCTCTTCCCTCTCCAGCCATCTTGTTATGCTGATGTTTTTAAGGCATGGATCACGCCTCTTTGGAAAAAAATAGGTGAAAGCCTATTGAATCCTGTCAGTAATAAGCTGCACGTAATGAATCACAAACACATGGTACTTCTATACAGCAAGGACGTTAAACTGTATTCTAACATGCATCACGTGTCACCATATACAGCTTTACATACCTTTGTCTCACGACCCATCATATATTCAAAGAGCACTTTCCTCAAGTATTCAAACTCAGTAGGCTCCCCAAAGAGCGAAACATCAGTATGGTGAAGGTTTCCATCTGTGTAAACAAAAATAAGAGAATATTTATACTGCGAGTTACTCACATGAATCTAAGTTTCACCAATGTAATGAAACTGAACCAGAACAAATGTCCGATTCTTCATCTGAGACAGAGTAACAGCAGACGCAGAAAGGGATCTGGAGGTGCTGGCTGACAGGAGGCTCAACAGGAGCCAGCAGTGCATTCTTCAGCCAAGGCAGCATACCACATCCTGGGGTGCATCAAACACAGCTGATCAAAAGCAGCGATTGTCCCACTGTATTTAGCGCTGGTGCAGCCCCACCTTGAGCACTGTGTGCAGTTCTGGGCTTCACAACTTAAAAAGCGCGTTAAGGTACTTGAACGCGTCCTGAGGAGTGCACCAAAGCTGGTGAAGGGGCTGGAAGGCATGTCCTCTGAGGAATGACTGAGGACTCTGTGTTTGTCTAGGTTGGAGAGGAGGCTGAGGGGCGACCTCACTGCTCTCTACAGCTTCCTGAGGAAGGGAAGGGGAGAGGGGGGTGCTGATCTCTTCTCCCTGGTACTCAGTGACAGAACACATGGGAATGGCTCAAAGCTGTGTCCATCAGGGGACATTTGGACTTGATATGAGGAAGCATTTCTTTACTGAGAGGATGATCAAATCCTGGAACAGGCTTTCTGAAGAGGTGGTCAATGCCCCATGCCTGTCAGTGTGTAAGAGGCATTTATTAAGAAGCCCTTAATACCATGGTTTAAATTGTGGTCAGCCCTGAAGTGGTCAGACAGTTGGACTAGATGATTGTCATAGGTCCCTTCCAGCTGAACTACGCTACACTATGCTATGCTTTTCCCTACCTCCTCCTTTCCCTAGCAGTACATGCTGAACAAATCTTTGATGACATTTCTTCCCAGCCCTGTACTAGAAGACAGTGAGTACCCATAACCATGTCCCAGCCTAGGCACTGTCACCTTGTGGGAAGGAGGCATGTATTTTCTGATGAGGATAAGAGCTGTGGATTGTCTTATTTATATATTATGTCTTTATAATTGGACCATCGGAAAAAATTTGCAAAAATCATGTGTGAAGAGCAATTTCTGGAAGTCTTTTGTGTTCATCCATTTGAGCTGGGTTTCCACAGGATGGCAAAACCACACCTCTGACATGAACGAGGCTCAAAGGTCAAGCCCTCAGTCTGAAGCAGGATGTGCTCCTCAACTAAATGGCTGCAAGTCCTTTTGAGGTGAGCAATACTTTGATTTTTTATTTTTTTTTTCTCCTTGTTACTCATTTTTAGAAACACACAGAATCACAAAATCACAGAACGTTAGGGATTGGAAGGGACCTCAAAAGATCATCTAGTCCAATCCCCCTGCCGGAGCAGGAAACACCTGATCTGTTCTTCATGGAAAAATATGCTGTAACAATGGAGCCTGAGAACAACGGCACTCCAACAGAGAGGTGGTTCATCTGGTCCAATATTCAATACCCAAAATGGCCAACCATCCATGCCTAAAGGAGAGCAGATGAGCATGCAGGGTCCTGGGGGTGCTCATAGGTCTCAGTGGCTGGGACTGGCCTCCCCTGTGATCCCCACACCTGCACTCTGCTGTAAGGGCCCAGAGACATGTCTCAGCTCAGCCTGGGGCCTTCAGTCCCTGCCTGAGCCATGTTGTAGGTGTGCCTGTCTCTGTCCCTGTCTCCTTGAGGGGCCTGGGACCTGCCCCGCAGAGAGCTGCTCTCCTGAATGGAGCCCACAGACCTAGGTTGTAGCTTGTCATGTGCAATGGTAGGCACAACGTAGCACAACCATTCTAGTCTGTTCTATTCCCACTGCACTCACCATGAGCCAAATAATGATGAGACTTACATGCCTGAAATGCCAGGGGCTTTTCAGCTCCAAAACCACTTTCAAGGACAAATATTACAAAGGTTACAAGTGGAAACAGGATTTTATTTCATTTATTACTGAGTCAGAGCAGGATATCTTGCAAAGCAATTCTAATCACAAGAAGAATAAACACGCAGACATGTAACACAAGAAAGATCTGTAAATCTAATATTTGTATTTTAAAGAATTTTAAACAGTCATAAAATGTATATTTAATCAGCCAGTACATATGGATAATTTCTCCTCATCCATTTTTGAGTGCCACCAACTATACCACTCCCCCTGGGGATACAGAAAGCATAAGAATTCTGATATAGAGCTCTTTTAACAGTATGACATAAAAACAAACATCAAACAAAGTGCTGTGGGATATGTTCATCTGAAATCACACACCAGCTCTATTATAACAGATGGGACAAAACAAGGATAAGATGTCATAACAATATTATACACGAGTTTAAAAGAGACTGAGATTTTAATAAATTGTGTATACCAAAACATATCTTTGAAACAAACAGAAATCTTATTTGTGATTAAAACTCTGTACTTACCTCTGTATGGTGTTCCAACTGATGTGACGTACATATTCTTCTCGTAATTTTTCAGCTGGTCTTCCAGTACATGAATCTAAAGAGAACAGTCAAAACAATAAATGCTGTTCACAAGCAGCTGAAATAAGAATTATTAAAATGGCTAAACAGCTAAACAATCTCCTTCTATGAAAACAAAATAAATTTGCTTTTTAATAAAGTAAAACATTAAAAACTGTGTTACTAAAAACTATTCCTAAACTACTTAAGGAAATGTGTGCACATGTGTATATCTCCATAGCAAATTTTATGCATATATATGTATTTATATACATAAATACATGTTTTTAATACATATAAGCATACATAAAAAGGAAAACATGACAAAGATTGTACTTAACATCAAAAAAGTTTTAGTTTAGAAAAAGAAAAGATCCATAATTTCATGAAGTGCATTGTTCTGTTTTTCACTGTGCAAATGTTTTGCTAACCTGTATCACAAGCATGTGGTATTTTCATTCTCAGGGGATAGAGGAGTACTTTGAAAAATGCACTGATCTTCGGAGGACGAGTATGAGTCAAAACTATTTTATATATGTATTATTTTCACAGTATCTGCATGGAGATGTGCTACATTCATCACTCAAAAAACCCAAACCTTTTAATATTGCAAACACAAAATATCAACAAGAAAACTTTTTATTTGTTCAAACAGCACACTTACCTGCTCTTTGAACTCCTGCTCTTTCAGTTTCGAATCGTTGACTAGTGTTGTCTTCTGTGCAAGCTGTGCCTGAAAGAACAGCCATGTATGGAAATCAAGAAACTGCTGAAGATATATGATAGGTACCTTTTCAATAAATCTTTCTCCATTTAACACAAACAAACTTATAAGCAATATTTCTGCTTTCAAACTGCTGTGAAACAGAATTATTCAGAGAACAAAACCAATAAAATTTAAGACTTACCTGAAGTTCTGTTATTGTGACCTAGAAGAACAAAAAAAATTTAAATTCCAATGTATGAAAAATACTGAGCACATCAAGCACTGGACATGGATAAAAAAAGAAAAAAATATCAGCCACCTAGTTCTGATACAGTGTTTTAATTGAGGATGACAAAGAATGAAATGACACACATATACTTATAAAAATAAGTAGCCCCATAAATAGAGTTTAACGTATTTGTGCTGACAGTACATAAAGTTTATATTTAAATTCTCTCATTTGATTCTGTAGGACAGTTATCATAAATGTAACTTTAAGAACCTAGTATTTCCAAATCTTTACAAAACGCATATTGGAGATGAATGAGAACTGAATGTGAAGCACATGGCAGAAAACACTAACTACTCACAATTCTATTCACAATATTCTTTTTCTTTAATTCTCCATATTGAATTTAGAAATGTGAACATTTATCTGAAAATAGCTTCAGTTTATGAGCTTCATGTCCTGTAGTTTATATCTTGCAAAGATAGCAATGTTTATTAAGTACAGAAACAATTCTAAACCAGAATTTTTGTCTTTTAATGTTCCAACTTTAAGGAAAATAAAGCCTTAGTAGTCATGGGTATAACTCAAGGTAGTAAAATAATTTTAACATAAAACAGTTGGTGAAAATTTAAACATAAATCTTAACACAGAATTGGTACATACTACTTGTTTCTTCCCAAGCCTCTCTGGAATTGTGCTGAAAAGAAAAGCTGTTCCCCATCTCTGTAGGTTCATAACCTGTGTGTTTTCCTACACTCCACAAACAGAATACAGAGAAAGATTATTCCCCTATGGATCTCAAACCTGTAAGTGCAGCTCTTGCTTCTGAAGACCTCAATCATCTGACCAGACACTTATTTTCCCACAAAGAGAGACATTTTCTGATATTTTTACATCCCAACACTAATGCTTCAGGATGTTAGTGTTTACCAGAGTCAGACAAACATTCTTCAGATGTATAATTATGCTACATTGTTCCAATGTATAATTATGCTTTATGCCAAAGTGGATACGTTATGGGTGATGTTTGGCCTAGGCTGACAACAAGCAGCACAGGAGATTTTATAAGACAAACTCCTGCAGCTTGGGAGACTCCAACTTCAGACAGTAAATCTACCAATTGCCCACAGAAAGTCGCTTCCAGTCAATGGAAGACTTCTGAGCTGCTTTACTACTAGTGCTGAAGGAAAAAAAAAACCCCAACAAACCATAAGAGAAAAACATTACAAAGCAACAAAATAGAAAAGAAAGAAGGTGAGACAAAAGATACCACAGCAAATATAAGATGACAGAATTCATTTAAATGCACATGTAAAATCCAGACATGGATTTGTACACTTCTGCTCAGATACGTGGACAAGGTTCACAGGTCTCATTCAATTTTCTCATCTACCTCTAATGTTGCAGATATATGCTACTGTATTAATTTTCAAATGTATTCTATTGTACCAGGTAACGGCAAAATTAGTTTCCCACAGACATATCAAGGACAGGCAACGTAAAAATTAAGACAGATAAGAATTAAGAATAGCAACTCTTAATTTCTAAGGAGGAAAAAAGAAAAGTACCTCCTGATCTCAGAACAGACTGTGTCAAAGAGTGAGAAAGCAAACCTGAAATACTGATAAAACAAGATCTGGAAGCCCACTTACTAACAGCACGCTAAATATTTGAGCTTTGACTGGACCAGAATTGCACATTCAATAGCACAATCTGACTATCAGAATAGTTATGTCGTTTTGAGATGAAGTCACCATTGCAAATAGTATGAAATATGAAATCCACATTCAGTTAGAGCTATGCAAAAGCAAGCTTGTCAACAATTTGCTAAATTTTAATTTAGTTGGAATTCTCAAAATTACTCAAGAAAACTTGATGCCTGTATGCCAATGAAATCATGGATATTTAACTGCCTTACACTCACCAAAAAATCCCATTCTTATTCTGCAAGCACTTCAAATCTGGAATCTGTAACTGTAGTTAGGTACATGCACTCCCACATGACCTCCCCTCCAAATGAGACATCATTTATCCTTCAAAACAAAGCTATTGAGTTTCTCCAAAGCCTGCCATGGAAACTCCAAGGAGTGGAGAACTGTGGACAAGATTCCAAAGACCGGCAAAATTAGCTGTTTGTTTATTGTAAGCAGATTCATCTTTACATAGAGATGTAATATTTGCAACATTCAAATATTTTACAGCTCTATGCTAAGCATTGCAAATCTGTGCAATACATTTCTGGGAAGAATTGAGAAATACATGAAATACCATTGCTGGTATACAGATTTGCTATAACTTTCATGTCCTATCAATGAATATGTAATCCCAAAGATACATGTATAGTGGGATGACAAATGAATGTCTTTATGTATAGCAGACCCCTGTTACAAAGGAGGTGGTGACATAGTTAAAGAAGTCCTAAAGATAAAGTACTATTCATACTCTACAGAATCATGTTTTAGGGTTTAGAGGTCTCTTAAAGAATCTTCTTCCAGATAAGATTATAACATTATCATCAGTGGGAGCACAAAGATTGGTTAATTAAAAATACAAGGCCGTCTGATACAAGTATTTCTGCTTTTCCTGTTACAAAAAATAACACTCATGTCACGGAATAGTTAATAGAAGTAATATAAAGGGTGTTGTAAGCAAGTGCAAGGCAGAAGGGAGAAACATTAGGACAGTGAGGTAATTTGTACTGTAAGTTTGCAGTGTCATATAAGTATCTCTAGTATCCGCCAGTGCTGCCTGTTGCTAAAATGAAAAATTTTAAAATAAGGTTAATATGAATTCTCATCAATGGCTCAACACCTCGTATAATTTTCCTCTTCTCAGTGTAATAATAACTAGTACTGTTTTCATCAAAGAATTCCTCAAACTAAAATGTGGTCTCAGAAAAACAAAAGCATGCACTCAGTCTTCTTTCAATGAAAACCTCTCCGTCCATAATTGATATATTCAAGAGACTATTTCAGGACCCTTTGGAATTTGTTGTTTTGTTCTGTTTTGTTTTGAAGAAAAAATCACATTAAAATGACCAAGTGTGACTTCCTTTCCTCCTAAAAGGCTTCCAGTAAAATCAACATTAAAAAGCCACATGTAGAGGGCAAAAACCTCTACCTTAATAACCACAACACAACTGGACCATTAAAAAAGGTAGTATCAAATACTGCAGATTCTAAAGAGGTTCACTCTTGAAGTACTTAACATCTAAAATAATAGAAATTATATGGGAAACTGAAGGCCAGAAATATAAATAAAATTCAATAAAGAGCAAACCACAGAATTTTATGAAGACTAAGCATTTCACACCTAAAGACAAAAATAAATGTTAGTGCCAGCTCACTTTTTCACGGTTCCAACGTTCCTCTTCAGTCATCCTTTGTTTATATTCCTTTTGCAAGTCTTCTAGCTGTGTCTGCAACTCATGAACTTTTGTCGTCATCTCTTCTTCACGAGCCTTCAAAGTACAGGAAGAAAGAATTACTTAATCATCTAACCACTCAAAACCTTAACTACAGTGGACAGAAAGCAATTGACAAAGGAGTTACACTATACACAGGAAGAATATGCTTGAAATTCAGTATAAAGGCTACAAAAAAGAGCAAGAAACAAACATAGAAGATGAACAAGATTTTCTAAGCCTTTGACAATTTCAGTTACATAGTTAGGATTACAGTTAGTTTTTTGAAAATTACTAAAAAAAAAAAAAGAAGATGGCCCCAAAGCAGTTGTAAGCACATTTTCAGAAACAACATCTTCCCATTGTTTGTAGGGCACTGTGCAGTGTGGAGGAAAGCAGCAGTGGGAAGAATGGTAAGGAGATTTATGATTTATACAGTGCTAAGAGTACATTTATAGAGGAAAAATACAATTACCTAAACCCTAGCAAGTTAATCCACCTAAGTGGCACTTTGCAAAAAAGTATTTTTAATTGTGTCCCTTCTGGCCTTCCTGTGGGATAACACGTTAGGGAGCTTATAAAACAGCATCCTCAATTCAAAGTGCAGGTCTCCACTGCTAAACTGAACTAAAACTGCAGTTTCATTCATGCTAACCACACGGGACAGTGAGCTGCCCGTTCTGTTATGCTGTTGTACTTCACGTAAAATTAGTACAATTAATCAACTGTTATCAAGATTAAAATCTTATACCATTCAAAATCTCAAGAGTACAAACTACAGTGATATGTTCACTGGAAAAGCAAGTACTAAACTACAAAGCTGGTCCAGGCTTAACAGATACAGGGTATGCCATACGTAGAAAAAGAATTATTTCTCTGTAAGGCCACTTTCTAATGTGCTCTTTGCACTCTACTTAAGAACAAAACACCCTCCTCATGCAGCCCCTCAGCCCAAAATCCAACACCAAAAAGAAACAAAGCAAACCCTCCACAAAAGCTAGTGAGTGGGATTATGTACAGTCTAGCACTGAAAACCATTTAATCTTTTGTTGCCATACATGAGGGGCTGGGACAATTTACTTGACTAAAATGGGAGGCTTCCTTGTATTTCACAGAATCACAGAATATTAAGAGTTGGAAAAGACCTTGAAGTATCATCCAGTCCAATCCGCCTGTCAGGGCAGGATCATGTGTCCAGGAACGTGTACAGGAGGGTTTTGAATGTCTCCAGAGAAGGAGACTCCACAACCTCTCTGGGCAGCCTGTTCCAGTACTCTGTAACCCTTACAGTAAAAAAGTTTTTCCTTATGTTCAGGTTGAACGTCCTATGCTCCAGCTTGCACCCATTGCCCCTTGTCCTATCACTTGACATCAGAGAGAAGAGCCCGGCTCTTTCCTCCTGACACTCGCCCTTTACAGATTTATAAACATTGATGAGGTCAACCCTCAGTCCTTGCTACCTTGGAAGGAGTAGTACTTTACCTTTCTACCTTGGAAGGCAAAGTATCTTTAGACTTAAGTTGGCTGCTAACTTTCAGTTGGAATGTTACTGGTGCAAAACTATGTCTATCTGCAAATATCATGTAGACAAACTGTTCACTTTTAAGTTAAAAATAAAGCTTTGCTTGTATAAAAGCTATGCAAACAGACTGCATCTTGCATAGAACAGAAACTTACTTTAAGGGCTATGGTGCCAATCTGGACAGAACATCAGAGAAAGAAGCTAGAGAGTGAAGCTGACCCATAAACACTGTATTAGAATCCTTAAAAGAAACAACACACCACCACCACCACCACCACAATTCTAGTAAAGCTTAAGCTAAACTCACTCACTTTCCTCAGTTCAGTGTAGGGACCCAACCATATTTTATTTTTTTTAATGATCAGAGCTGGGGCTTATTTTTTGATGTTCTTTCGTGTTCATAAAACACAGAAACAAATATTTTAATTGCCAGCTAGGTCACCACACATATCAAGTGTAATTAAGCAGTACGATCTTTACTAGAAAGAATTACAGTTTTTCTGTTTAGTTGTGCTATGAAAAAAGGGTAAGAGATATTTTGAAATGTATGTAGCCATGTAATGTTTCAGAAAGATACCTCAAGGATTTCTTCATATTTTTCCACAGTTCTTTTCAGATTATCCTCTTTTTCAGCAATTTTTTTATGCAACTGTGTTGTCTCTATGTGATGATTTTCTATCAATTCAGCTTCTGCCTCCTGGGCTTTACCTATAAAAAAAAAGGCAGGCAATATAAAAAACCTTGTATTTGTTCTGTTAAATTATGTCACAACAGTATTTTAAAAAGCTTAAAAAATATGGAAAGTATCTATAAGGAAAACTTGTCATGCAAAGTCATTTTTCCAGTCTGTCCAGTGATAATTATGTCACCTGATCCCAATATGTATTAAGTTTTCTGTCTGCAGTTTGGTACCTGGAGCAATATTTTGTACCTGATGCAGGAACTCTTCCCAAAAAGTTAAGATCATGACAAATATTAAAAAACTAATTCTATCTCCAACACTCTCTAGAAAAGTGATTGAAACATCTGCAAATCTTCAGAAATTCCTCACCTGTATGGGTGCTTTCAGTAACTCTGGTGTCAAAAGCTACTTTCCGCTCACTTCTCCAATCTCTAATTTACACTATGGTGGCAAAAGACGGACAGAGAAGAGAAAGCGAAATATGCTGTACTCTAGTTGTAACCACACCGTATAGCAATCAGACATCATAACCAGTTAGTGGTTAAAGTGAATGAAGTCTGCAAGATGCACCTAAGAAAACGCAATTCTGATTCCCAGACGGATTTAAGTTTCTTCTAACGCACTCTTCAGTGCCATACATTCAACAATGGAGCGTTAAAAGTTTGTACTCTGAAGCCAAAGCAGTATTACAATGAAACTTACTCATGTGCTTTCATCTCTAAAAACTTACTGTCTCTTTTTTTTCTTGTCTATGTATGATAAAAAGATAGGTACCTATGGCTATCATAGGTAACTCTGGTCATGACAGATGGAGACAGACAGATTGCTAGCTCGAAGATCCATCCTGCAGGATAAGGAAGAACAGCTACATATATGTTTTTTCCTAATCGTGCTACAATTAACATTTATAGATTATTTCCTGAGCAAGGTAAGTTCTTTCCCTGAGTTCTACAGGCAGTCATAAAACACGTTGTCTTTCCCAGAGACCCTGGTGAAACCCCTTCCCCTTTCCCAAAACATCTGAAGATTTGCTTTTCTGGGTATTTTACTATTACAGGTGTATTAGTATTTCACTTACTGATTGTCTCTTTTACTGCTGTTTCCAGTTCTCTTTCTTTTTGAGCCAGCTGAGTATTGAACTCTCTCATTAACTGCTTTAAGGTGGAGTTGTGCTTTAACAAAATGTCTTCTTGTTCACACCTGTACAAAAATGTAAAAAAAAATACAGTGAAGAAATAAAATGTTTAAAGGGAGAGCAAGAACAGTTTAGCAAGGTAGGAGATCTGAAAATTTCTCCAAAACTACTTTAGAATGGCATGGTTTTGAATATGATCACAGAATCACAGAATCTTAGGAGTTGGAAGGGACCTCAAAAGATCATTCAGTCCAACGCACCTGCCAGAGCAGGATCTCGTAGACTAGGTTGCAGAGGAATGCGTCCAGGCGGGTTTTGAATGTCTCCAGAGAAGGAGATTCCACAACCTCTCTGGGCAGCCTGTTCCAGTGCTCCGTAACCCTCACAGTAAAAAAGTATTTTCCTTATATTCAGATGGAACCTCCTATGCTCCAGCTTGTGCCCATTGCCCCTTGTCCTGTCATTGGCTGTCACTGAGAAGAGCCTGGCTCCTTCCTCCTGACACTCACCCTTTACAAATTTATAAACATTAATGAGGTCACCCCTCAGTCTCCTCTTCTCCAAGCTAAAGAGACCCAGCTCCCTCAGCCGCTCCTCTTAAGGGAGATGCTCCTCTCCCTCCATCATCTTTGTGGCCCTGCGTTGGACTCTTTCAAGCAATTCCCTGTCCTTCTTGAACTGAGGGGCTCAGAACTGAACACAGTATTCCAAATGTGGTCTCACCAGGGCAAAGTAGAGAGAAAGGAGAACCTCTCTAAACCTACTAACCACACTCCTTCTGATACACCCCAGGATGCCATTGGCCTTCTTGGCCACAAGGGCACATTGCTGGCTCATGGCCATCC